GACTTAGCTTGCTCCCAACCTGGCTCTTCCGTCCCCACCCGAATGATGAATGTTGTTTTTATTTTTAATTATGTACTGTTTTTATATGTCACTGTCTGTATTCCCTTCCCTACAAGTTGTAAGCCGCCCTGAGTCCCCTCAGGGAAAAGGGCGGCCTATAAATAAACTTACAATTACAATTACAATTACAATTACAACTTCGCTTACTGTAAATTGTCACTGAAACTATCCAGAGATGATAAATAATAACAAATACCCTATTTCCAAAGGCATCCTCATTTAAGCAGCCATTTGAACGTTCTATTATTGAAATTCTGCTAAGGCCTGTACACTCAAATTATCACCTAAGTATTTTCAACATTATTACTTAACAAAAATACAGGACTGCGTAACAGAGATTCATCAGCTCCAGACAAGGCACCCTTCTACTTGAAAAAGCAAAGGAAAGTCTGCCCATTACCTCAGGCATGGCTTCAAATAATGTTCTTCTTCGTTTAGTGAATTCCTTCATGTCAGTCAGGATCTCGTGTTTAATTTCAGGAGGCAAGCTCAAGAAATCGTCTGATTCAACATCAACAGAACGAGGGTTTTCAAGCAATTCTTCCTTTGCAAAGGAGGAGCACAAAAAAACATTTTGCAGAATTAGATATGCATGTAGATTAGACAAGATGTATAAAAAGGACTAACCAAACCGCCTTTACACCGATTGAAGATGGTTTTCTAAAACAAGCAGCAGAATCTTGTAAACAGACATTAGGAATTTACTGGATCAACATTAGAAATGGGTTCATCCAGGATCAACCTTTGTCAATATGGTCCAAAGTATACCTCTGGTGTATGGGGAAGGGGAAGGAAATGAATTGGGGTATTTTCAGATTAAAGAACAAATCTGCCCCTTAAGTTTTCATTAAAGTCCAATACAAAATTTGTCCTTCTAAGAGCATTTTTTGTTATTATAAGAGGAGAAAAATCAGGCAAACTGTAGGGCATCTCTGCTACCATGCCAGAGACCACAAGATGAAAGTATCTATGAGATAAAGGGTCCTCCTGCATATCTAAGGAGGAGAAGTCAAGAGAACTGACTTGTTATCACCAGGATCTGTTAATATGCTTTGAAATATCAGTTTCTACCATAGAAATAATGCAGGAAGGTGAATATTGTTCTCACAAATCTTCCCCTATGAACTTCCCAGAAACACTTGGTTAACCATAATGGGAGAGCAAGATGCTAGAGTAATTGTACAAAAAATATAATTATAGCAAACATGATTAATGAAGTCATTAGTCAGCATCAAAACCTTGTTCCTCCTGATTTGTAGCTTAATCCCTTTTTGGTACACTCCTGTCCTTATTAATTGCATTATGAAAGTTATTTTTTAAGAAATCCAGTATTTTATAGCTCCAAAAGTTTATGCAGAAGTTCCTTATTTACAGATTGCAAGCATGTCCCCTTTCCTCAAAATTCTTCTCCATTTATGTATGCTATTGCCCGAATCCTGCAGCACAATAAACTGAACTTTAGACACTTTCCAAAATAGAAATAAAGTATTTTTATTAAATTTCAGGCAGCACAACAAGCCTATGAAGTTGCCTTTTAGAGGGTTAATCCTCTATTTCAGCTAGACCGGTATTGTCTGCTCTGTCTAGAATGAGCTTCCAATTATCTCATGCTAAAACCTTTAACAATTTTACTGCTTTTAAAATAGGTAATCTTCTTCTAACTTACAATAACACAAGCCAAGAGCTCCACTTCAAAAATGAGTATGCTAGGAACAAATCTGTAAGTAGTCCTCAATTTACAATCGTTTATTTAGTGACAGTTCAAAGTTACAATGGCACTGAAAATAGTGACATATGAATGTTTTTCACCCTTATGGCCATTGCATGTAATCAAAATTCAGTTGCTTAGCAATAGACATGTATTTAAAATGGTTGCAATATCTTGAGGTGTTGTGATCACCTTTTGCAACCTTCTGACAAGAAAATAAATGGGACAATCAGAGTCATTTAACAACCATGTTAAATGTAAACAACTAAGTTTACACTGCAGTGAATCACTTAACAATTGTGGCAATAAAGATTGTACAATGAGGCCAAACTCACTTAACAACGGTCTTGCTGAGCAACAAAAACTTTGGGTTCAATTATGGCTGTAAGACCTACAGTATATTCATTTTAACTGTAACTAAAATAGATGTAACTAAACAGAGCTAACATTAGTTCCTCTACATATTTAATATGTATCCTTTCATTAAAAGCAAAAATTTGGAAGCAACTTTTGGAGCCATTTTAAAGAATGCCACTGAAGTCATGCAAGCCCCATAGATTTAGCCCTATATACAGTGCGAACAATCACAATGGAGAGAAACTTCTCTGTTGCCGCTCCGGCCCTATGGAACAAGCTACCCCTAGAGATCCGGACCCTACCTACTCTCATGGCCTTCCGCAAAGCTATTAAAACCTGGCTTTTCCGGCAGGCCTGGGGCTGTTGATTGAGGTCCAGCCCCCCTTTGATTGGGTGCATGTTGTTTTCTTCTTAATCTTGTTGTATCTTATTGTTTTAATCCTTTTTTAATATTTTTCATTTCTGTAAGCCGCCCGGAGTTCTCCGGGATTGGGCGGCCTATAAATTCAATAAATGAATGAATGAATGAAACTGTGACTTCAAATTCTGGCATATTAGAGGAGCCATGGTTCCTAGTTCTAACCGAAATGAAATAAACCATGGGAAAAAGTTATTCAAAGCTCTAGCTTACTGTGCCATGTAAATTGATCTGGTGTTTTTCAGTGCAATATGGATCTCTTGATCCTATGAATCACAGGGAGTTGGGGAGCAACTAATTGCAATAACTTTTAATATTATTATGTTTGGTCACACAATTAACCAATTACTTAGACTGGATGTGGTGTTTCAATAAATTAACGACATTTGGGGGGGGGGAATAATTTAGTATAGGTTTGATTATTATTATATACACAACGTGAAGTCACAGCTGCCAGTTCTTTAGTTGGTGTTGGCCTTCACTCAGAGTTCTTCCAAAGAACCTAGGCTGCCATAATGTATCAGCATAATATATCTGCAAATCCAGTGTTTCCACTTATAAATGACAGATAATTTTTTTTCCAATATGCAGATTTTCTAAGTGCTATTCAAGATCTTTTTGTGTGGCACCCAGTATGCCAATAACCACTGATATCGCCATTATTATTACTACCTATTTGTTTTGAAAGGATTGCAACGCAATATAAAATACATAGGGGCCTTACTTGCAATATTTTCTTCTGAGTCATCCTTTCTTCCCACTCTTTTTCGTCTTCCTCTTCCGAGCTAGATCGTTAAAAAAAAAAACAGAACTAGTTTGCTAAATGTCAAAATTTGTCCACAGAAAACAAAAGAGTATTTTAAATTCTATTGCTTCTAAATGTTTATATAATAATCTGATTTTTTTAAAACTTGTTTCACTCACCTATTTTTTTTATCATCTTGTAAGGCAGGGAGCACATAAATGTCATCCACCTCTTCTCTTCTCACCTCTGCAAGACTAGGAAATTCAGCATTGCTGGGAATACAAGGATATTTCATATTAGGGCAGTGATGGCTAACTTTTTTGTTGTCACATGCTGAAAGCGTCCATAATGCAATGCATGTGTGACACTATCCCGCTCACGCACATCTGACACACACACACACACACACACACACACACACACACACACACGTGCTCCCCCAACTCTCCTGCGCATGAGCCCCCCCCCCATCACCCATTTTGGCTCCCAGGTTGGTGCAGAAGGCTTTCCAGACCCCAAACGTGGCGCGAGAGGCCCTTGTGCGCCCCCCAAGCACTCCATTTTGGACATGAAAGGCCTCCTATATCAACCTGCAAGCCAAAAGGGCATGTGGGGGGGCATTGCACGAGGCCTCAAAATGCAATGTGAGTGTCCCCGTACATGTGCCCTGCCCCCTGCACATCCATGGCAGAGACCCGAAGACCTGCTGTTTGGCAGGAGGCACGCCTGCACGCACAGTGGAGCTGGGCTGGGGCCACAGCTGGCATGCCCTCCGAGAGGGCTCTGTGTGCCACCTTCGGCACGCGTGCCATAGGTTCACCATCACGGTGTTAGGGAAACCAAAATACTTAACAATTGAAAGCTCCCATAAGCATTTATAAACAGAGGTTTATAAATACGGTTGTTCTTACCTCTTGCCTGCTAAAGCAGCCTTGATCGCTTGTCGTTTCAGGAAGGTTTTCAAAAGCTTCTCCTTAGTTTTCTTCGAATCTGTGACTGCAGCTTCTTTTTGCTGCTTTCGTTTAGCCTGCAATAGTAGGATTGAGTAGTCCTTTGTAGTCATTACTTTGATTAAAGCTTTTATTTGTCTCCCACACTGTTGCTAGCAAGTCTGCCTCAGCAACTTGGAGGTCAAGAAAAGGAAATTCCTGTCCTCAGAATTACTACTTTAAAAACACACAGAGAAGAAAAAGGATTGGGAAGATATTCAGCTACCAATTCTTAATGATATACCAATCTTGTAATTACTGAAGGGATTAGCGCATACCCCACTGTTCAGAGGAAAAGCCCCCAATTAGTGGTGGTGAATGTGAATGAGGGCATGACCCTAGTCCATATTGGAATCCTAATGTAATCACTGTTGGAAGAACCAGCAAAGCCCAATGAAGCTGTGATTATTTTCCTAAATTTAATTCTCATTTCAGTGAAGACAGTAGATTGACCAAAGCCTTTCTTTTTAAGTATTTCTTAGATTGCTGACTGTGACTGTGAAAGACAACTGAACTGGATTGGAGATTTGAAATTGCTGATCTTTCTATCCGTCCCTGTATTGTCACTTTTCTTCTGTATCCTTTTGCACAGTCTGGCCATGTAAGCCTTAGATTTCTAAAAGAAAGCCTTCAAGAGCTTCTTTCTCCCTCTGCTCCACCCTACATCTTCTGATGTAGCCTAGTTTAAGAATGTTCTTTCTTCTTTCTAGATAGGCAGCATATAAATGTAATAAATAAGTGGCTTGCCAAGGTTAGCCAAAACCTCGCTGGGAGGTTTTCGTTTTGCTAATGCTCTCTCGTGTTTTGTTAATTGATAAGTAGGAAGCCTATGTAATAAATGCACTTAACTACAAATATGAGTAATGGCAAAGGAATACCACACAGTTTATTGGACTCCAAAAGTTGAGCTTCTGCTATCTTAGGAATAATGCTATGCTTTAGATGAAATAATTTGGGGAACAGTTTTAAAAAGGACGAATTCCCAGTTGGTGAGGGATACGAGATGCTCCTCTACAGAAAGTTGCCATGTTGTGTTTTATTTCTTGGCCTAAAAGTATTCCTTTTGTTTTGTTTACAGAATTTGTCCTTCCAGTTTCCACTTAATTTGTGTACTTATTCTTTTTCAATATACCTCCATACATTTTGTTGTGGCAAATACAAATGAAGTTATTCTAAAATCAGACCATTATTTTCAAAAGCAAGTCAGACGGATTAAATATAATATGAATTATTAAGAAAACAAGATTTTAATTCCAGCCTCTTCCTTTATTCTACTCTATTTATTGTATTCTAGCAAGCCACACTTGCTAGATTCTCTAATCCTTGGTTTCCCTAAATCTGCTTATCTGAAAGAAATATGCACTGAATTTAGTAATTCCAATTTCAGTGGAATTGTGAATGGGATAGTTATGGCTTACAGTGTTGTGGCCTGCCAGCAGCCAGCAGAGCTGGCAGCAGATTCGGGCAGTGAGGAGGTTGGGGAGGGGTCAGTCCTGGAGTCTAGGGAAGGCTCTGATGAGAGCTCTGTGTTGGAGGCAGAGAGGGGGCCAGAGCCGTATGCCAGTTATCAGCTGCCTGGTCAAGAAGAGTCAGACATCAGTGAGGCAGACTGGAGCCTGTTCCCAGTATGCGCGTGCACAGAGTTGCCACACGAACAGAACAGCTAAAGAATAGTGGGCAACTTGGGAGTAAGGCCACAGCTGGACAATGAATGACCCCTCCAAGAGGAAATAAGAGAGGAGCGAAGGGGAAGTGGAGTTTGCAGGAGACAATTAGTTTGCTTAATTGGTTCATGATCTCTGAGATTCCTTGCCAAGTTTTGCAGACATCGGCTTGGCAACTCTCCAAACCAGATAAGGTCTGTGACTGTAAATCCTCCCTTGAAAGACTTTACTGGATGTGAATGAACAGAATTCACAGTAAATTAATAAAAGTTTGCTCTTGGGAAGCCTACGTCAGAACATACATACCAAAGTTTGCCTCTTCAGTAGAGGAGCTTCTCCATCAAAAACAAAAATGGGGCGGATCCGAAAGAAGAGCAGTTTGCAAAGTCGGTGAAACAATATGAGGAGATGAGCATTATGGATGGAGTTCCCATGACGGTCTCTTGCTCCTTTAATAGCTTGATTCAACCAAATGCTAATATCTTATGAAAGCATTTAAAGGAAGACAACAGAAAGTGACATATACAAAGCAGCATTGATCTGTTTAAACATACCAATCATTTATGCTTACATTCACACTTTATTAGAAAAAGCTTATATTATAGGTTTTCCTGGGTTTGAGATATTTTTCCTTATTTTGCCACTTCTGCATATGAGAGGCTATATGTCCCAGAAGAGCCAGTAGATTTATTTGATGCTATGAGAGTAATATAACTGCTACACAACATGTTGTGTTCAAGTAGCTGGGGTGGGGGGGAGGGAGGGAAATACTGCACTGCTGTTAATTTTAGTGGTAATTATATGATAATTTTCCTGAGATCGTGAAACCAATATATCAGGTAAATTCAACAAGACTGAAAATAAAATATTGGCTTTCAATATTTATTGGTTGGGGAAAATCAGCAATTATATATGCAATCTATTAAAAAAAGTTCTTAAGGGAGCTCCTTTTTTTAAGGATACCAACAGCAAGAATTTTTCCTTCCAATGTTTCTGGGTTTATAGGTCTTCCTGAGCATTCCAGTAACTTCCAAAGCCCATGAACTCCCATTATTAGTTAGGTAATATAATGAAAGTGAAATCTGTTGAAAGCAATAAAGATATTGGTCAATTGCTTATATATTAAGTATGACAATCATAACATCTTACTATATCCAGTATCTGCAGAACTGCAATCTTGCTAGACAATTTAAAAATATTTAACTCAAACTTTTTCCAAACTTGTGCCTTCCAAAAAGATGGTTTCCTCCCCAATTATGAATAGCGACAAAGTCAAGAAATCCACAGGTAACAGCACAATTTGGGGAACGTTTGATTTACCTGAACAGAAACTTTAAACAATACCTTATTCATTAAAATGTCAGTTTTTCTGCTAAAACATTGTGAAAATAGTACTTAGATAGATAAATAGCTTAATGAGGGAAAAACTGGTCAAGAAGAGCCAACACCCTCCCTTGCATCATTACCTATAAACCAATAAATCAATAGTTAAACCTTACAAGAGGAATAATACTTACAAAGTATTGCTTTTTTCATATATATTTTGATGTAATCAAACCATAGATTTTTAAAAATAGAAATAATCCCTGCACCCACTACAATACATATCTACCTCAGGATAGCAGTCACAGCTACATTACCTAATTAGTATTCACATGTAAAACTGTGTAAAATACATATATTAAAAATAACTGGGTAAAATAAAATTACCCTGCAGTTTTAATAACATAATTCACTCTCGCTTCATTTTCTCAACAAGATGGCAGCTGACAAGCAGAAAAGGTTCTAATCAAATTACAAGATTGTGTAAGGGTTTGAAGTGTGCTTTTTTTTAATTAATTCTGAAATAGCACTGGTTTGAATTATTTAAACGGATTATTCCCCCACCCCCAAAGAAAAGTAAGAGATCTGGTGCCATTTAAAGCGCTGGTAAGGCAATTTTTCAGGTAGTCTTGGAAATGCTATCAAATGTCTTCGTTTTAAAGAGGAAATCCAATCCCAATTCTTTTACCTGCCTTGCCTTAACTGCACAGATTACAAACCCCTAACTAAACTGGCTTGCATATTTTGCATTTCTCCTCTGTGCTTTAGGTCTCCTAAAACAAATTCCCCATTGCAATCTTCTTCGATACACCAGGGTTTTCTTTTGTACTTTTTCCTACAACTCCCGTAAAGCCATTATGGTCCTTGTGTAATCGCTCCTACTGCCTCCCTATCCAACTTCCGACACCGAAACGTCTAATAAAGGGAATTGCTGCAACGCAACGGGGGAGACCAACGAACCTTAATTGGTGTATAGCGAAGAAGATGGACTTCTTGGGGAGGGGGGGTAAAAAAAAGGTAGGAGGAATCCACCCGGGAACCTAGAAGATACAGGAAAGAGCGTTCGAAAACAAAGCGCCGCTCACTCAGCCGGCGCCATGTTATTACGTCACAAATGCAGACTGCGCTTCCCGCTGGGAGATGTAGTTCTTACACAGAGGCTGTGAGAGAATCAGGGCGAGAAAGATCCAAGGAGTACTTCTATCGTTTTTCCAACCGCAGCAGAACTGTCTGTCACTTCTTCATTCTTTCTTCTGCTGTTCCTTAACATCGAGGAAAGAATTTTGCTGAGAAACTAGGATCAAAAAGCAGCCGACATAAATTCGCGTGTCTGCATGCACACTATAGATACGCCCAGAGTTACCTAGAAATTAGGGTAGAGATCCAGATTTTTTTTTTAAGCAGAAATACGAAGTAATATAATTTGTTGCTTCCTTTTCCTGCTTTTTTTCCTCCCAGTTTTTTCCGAACCTAGTTTTTTTCTGGCTTTCCCATTCAAATGTTACCAGTTTTGTGCATAGTATTTTAAGATTAGGCTAGCATGAACAGCTGATCTACTTCCCAGTAAGCATGTGCCTCCCCCCCCCTTCCTTTACCATTGGAGAGCGGGATGCTAAAGCTAAACAAAAACTAAAATCAAAATAAGGTGGTGGGGGTTTTTTCCAAGTCTTTCCTTTTGTAGAAATCCCCTTTCCCCAGAAGAATGAAATATTTTGGGAAATATTAAAAAGGCATGATATTTCCTGAAGAAGAAAATTAAAAAATCTTAAAGGGAGGCAGAAACAACACACACACCCCACACACGTTATTTCCCTAGCCCAAGCAGAAACTGAGGACGGACAGCTTTTAGAAATGCAGATTTGGTCATCCATTCAGGAAGACTGGGTCAAGACAGAAACTCAGATAAGCAACAAAATTAGCTCAGACACCTAGGATTTGCATTTCCCCTTTTGCCTATAGAGCCAGCTATGACCTCTACATGACCTGATAGGAATCCAGAAGGTATAAAAATCCACCCAGTCTAATCTCCATTTTGTCAGCTGCCCAGAACCACAAACTCTGGTGGTTCTGTTCACCAATAAATGGATCTTCTTTCCAATCAGCTTTCAGCTTCCATTTTGTTTCCAGCATCTGTAGCAGATGGATTTTCATTCAACAATTTCATTGCCTTTGTTTAGATTTGAAATGTTAACAATCCTCCATATAGGTTGTCCTCAACTCACAATCACAATAGGCATTAGAATATCTGTTCCTAAGCAACACAGGCAGCTATTAAGTTTGGTCGCCCAATTTTAGAAACTTTTTGCCATGGTTAAATGAATCACTGTTAAGTGAATCACATGGTCATTAAGCAAATCTGACTTCTGCCATTGACTTTGCTTGTTAGAGCTAGTTGGGAAGGTTGCAAATGGCAAAATAATATGTGCCCAGGACATTGCAACAGATGTAAATACATTCCGGTTGCCAAGTGCCCTGAATTTTGATCATATGGCCATGGGGATACTGCAAAGTGTAAAAAACAGTCATAAGTGTGAGAACAAGTCGTAAGTCACTTTTTTCAGTGCTGTTGTAACTTCAAACAATTGCTAAACAAATGCATTTAAATCAGGAACTATTTGTAATCATTTAATAAAAATAATAAAATGGTTCTAAGCAATGTGGACTTTTAGCAACAGATGGCAGTAAGGAGTTGGGAAAAAAATATTGAGGAAACTATGAATTAAATATAGCTGAAATTCTATACACGATTAGGGAAAAGACTAAAATCAAATAAATGCATTAAAATGTGGAATATTTCTTCATTATATTTTGTAAGATCTTGGGTAGATGTATATACCAGTCACTGCACTAATTGTTGGAAAGAATACGCTAAGAATCTTGAAGAAACTGTTTTATATCATCAGATAAAGTTACTGTCATTCATCTATATAATTATTGAAAATAATATTCAGTTTAAACTCTTTTTGAAAATGAACACCAATCCACTACCTATTCCCAATATTTAGAATTATCCTCATCTGTAAACCCATTCTGGAATACTATGTTCACATTTGTTTTTTAAAAGATTTTCTAACAATTCTCCATATAGTTAATAATAGTTGGGCTAGAAAGTCTGCATTGAAAAACTGTACGACTATCTGACATTATATTTAATCTGAAGCAAATAAATCCTACTTTTAGATGCAATTTCATTTGTATATCATTATAATATCATGCCAAAATAGATTATAAACTGAAAGCCTTTGTAACTACCAAACTTACACTTTAAAGACTTTGTTTAAAAAGAAAGTTGTTGGTCCCACTTAAAAGATTACTTATTAATTCAAACATATTAGTCATCTTAAACAGAAAGGGGGTTAATCACTAAAGTTTAGGCATCACAAATACCCATAAAATGACAACCATAAATAACATCTGATTAACAATGCATAGCTAACTATTGCAATGAGATCTGTTAAGTAGTCTAATACCTACAAAAGCTATTTCTGCAAAATTTCCATAATCTCTTAGATGCAAGATACACTTCCATCTTTTGCTACTATTTTTCTGTAGTCTTGGAATCATTCTGTTTTAAAGCAAAGAAAATACAAGCAAAGCTGGGCCAAGAATTGCTCACTCCCCTTAATAATTGCTTATGCTGAAAATTGTTAATTAGATTGAATATTAAGATTTTTGAACCAACAATATTGTCATTGCTGACTAATATAAAGTTTAGAACAGCTAAGGTTAAGCTCCTTCCAAATATAAGAAATGTGTTGCCATTGTATGTTCCCCAAATGCTCTTGGGCTTTAACAGCTGTCAATTTACTCTGCAACAGGATTAACTTGATGTCCACAGATCCCTTGGGGAGGGGTACCTGATTTTTTTGTCCATAGAGGAAAAAAGTTACAATCATATTTTCACCAACTCCTAACTTAAATTTAATTTTTCATTCAATAACATCTGCAAATAAATTCCTGGCTTTCAGAATTCCAAAAACATCAGTCAACATCCATAATTCCCATGAGCAAATAATATAAAAAATAGGAAGCAATGATAAAACTGTCATATTTTATTCTTTTCATAAACTGTTTTCTTCAAAGCTTATAGGCTTTCTGAAAGTGTGCCTGTTATTTTGATAATCTTCAAAGATCCTTGCTTGAATCTATAATTCTTTCTTTCAAACATACTGCACTTGTTTTGTAATCATTCAACTATTCATACAGTATTGGAAACAACTTTCATTAATTGAGGCTAAACATGTCTTAAAATTTGGTACCTTATTTTAAACATGGTTACAACCTCAACCATGCCCACAATGCAGCTGGCTATAATTGCCATCTATTGCATTTCATTGCATTGTTTTTTGGGCGATGCCAGAGACCTGTTAACTATCCAGAGAGATTAATTATGAAAGAGAGAGAGAGAGGAAGATCTCCCTTGCACACCTATACACCCCCAGACTCAGTCAGGAGGCAGGTTACACAGACTTAAATATTTTACTGTATATAGTAGTGCTGTGGCCCAGCTGGTGCCGTTGGAGCTGCCACCAGATTCCAAAAGCGAGGGGCCCTATGAGTCGGCTCTGGAGGATGTGGAGGACCCTGGACAGGGTTCCAACTCCGAGCAGGGCGCAGAGAGGCTGGTTGGCCACCAGGAGGCACCTGAGCCTTGGACCAGTGGGGAGGAGACAAGGGAGAGTGCGGCCTGTAGTGAGTTGTTCCTGGATGCATGCCATCGAAGAG